TGTCTCGAACTTTTGAACCAGGAAAATTGTTGTCCTGCCCATTCGGAATTGGTCCATTGCTGCCCAGAATATCCCCAGTCACTGTCCAGAAGTATCTCAAGTGCCAAAATGTTGTCCCGGCCTTCATTGCTGATGTCTAGACATCCTTACTTGCTGTCCAGTCATTTTGGGTGACCTTCTATGGCTTTCCCGCTGTCCAGAAGGTCTCCGATCGCCATCCGTAAGGCTTCCAATTCTGAAGTTGCTGTCCACTCTCCCACAAGCACATAATTGACCACACCGAAGCATCGTAACTCCTCTTCTTTGGGGTAAACTCTTCCTCCAATTCTCTTATCATCCTAGTTTATTTCTCAATTGAGGTTATATTTTGATTCACAACGATCATGTTGATTCTTCCCTGCTAAAGCTTAGAAGAACTAGAGAGTTGAGTGAGGGATTCTTGCATAGTGTCTAATCTCATTGTTAGTTTGGGAATTAACTTTGAAAACCACCCATGCATGCAATGTTAGATTAATTGACTATTTTACGATCTTAACTCTTACATATGTGATTTAGCCTAAGCTTATTTTACTGCTCTTAGTGTTTTCTTTTGTCATTCAAAATCAACATAAAGTTTATAATTATTGTGCTCTAAATATTAAGCGTGCAAATTCATTAATTAGCTCATCTTCGCATGTACGTTCCACATCACTACGTCTACCTTTATTTTCATGACCCAATTTCCACCATTCCAACAGCAAGCCCATGACAATTGGCACCCTCGCATCATAGCCAACCCCATCCCCACATCCACCATCCCTGACAAACATGTCTCTATATCTCCCATTCCCACTGATCCCGTCCCTCCTATTGCCCTAGATTCATTTAAAAAAAGAGGTTTAGAAGAATACATTAATAAAAGATTTATATTTCAAAAAGTACATTAATACAAAATTTAAATCAATTTTCCAGCCAACTAAACAAAAAATTAGTTTCCTAAATTTCTTTTAGGACTAACTAAACAACCTTTACTATTCCAAACACATTATATTTAATTTATATTACATTTAAAAGATACATGCATCCTGAATGCTAACAATAAAATGTGCCCTAAAATAATGATATCAAAGAATTTAGTAAGGTACATGAATTTAGGGGTAAAAATGATTTAATTTTGAGCTGATCTATCCTTAGCTCGAAATCAACTAAAACATAAATAATTAGACTCAAAATTGGCTTGTGAATGGTTGAAATTTTTTTTATTTTTAGCTGACTTGACTTGAGTCGACCTGATTTTAAGCCTATTTGAAATTAGTTACTTTTGCTTTTCTTAAATTTTTAAAAATTATTTTATATGCACTATATTTCTATTTCATGATAATGTCGAGCCATCTTGATTTGATTCATGCTCAACTCCAAATTAACTCAAAGATAAGTCCAGACAAAAATTTTCTTATGGCTTAACTCATTTGGATTGATTTGAAACAAGACAAATTCAATATGAGCCAAAATTTGATTCAATGAATGAGCGAACTTTGATCTTAAAGCTAAAATCTCATCTTTACTTTATTTAACAAAAATAATAAGGGGTTACGAATGGAAGGCTAGAAAATCATTTTTCCCTTATTTGAAGGTATGATTTCACATGAGTTGAATCCTCCTAAAAGGAGGACCCATGATCCAATTCACGTGATCAGATATTGTGTTTGCAACTAGTATCATTTCTAATTTATACATAGCAACAAGGTATTATTTTTTTAACTTTTGTTCCATTTTCTAGAATTGATACTATTTTCCATTAGCATTGTTCTAGCTTTAAAAATTCAAAAAAGTCAGAAAGCATTTCAGTAAATATGAAATCAATGTTTCTTAATGTTGCACTTGATAAGTAAGTGTTTGTTTAACAACCTCAAGGTTTTGGTGAGAGGCATGAAGCACAAATTCTAATTAAAGAAGCATTGTAGGAGCTTAAGCAAGCATTGAAAGCATGGTATAACAAAGTAGACAGGCATTTTGCTAGACTATTCTTTGTGTCAAAGCGATGGTGATGATATCCAGAACTCCTAAGAAAAAAACTTGTCACCATGATCAATACAAATTAATAATAGAATAATAATAATAATAATAATAATAAATAATAATAATCACTTTTCTTTTTCAAAATTTGCCTTAAATTGCATAAAAATAGAGAGAGCTTTTGTTTTGCTTTTTCAGGGAAAAAAACATCAAGTCATCCTAGTTCAATCATAAATAAAAAGGTGAAAATAATTATTATGATTCAAAGATGTCATCATGGACCAAAAATATTAGCATGCACAAATATTAATGGATCATTTACTCTACATGATTTGCCAACAGGAAATTTCACAAGAAGATGATATTCCTTTATCATACTTCACACACCATTTTATTACTGTTCACTTAAAAAAAATCTGTCAGCCGTTTACGTCTTATACATAAACTGTAGACCACTAAAATGCAAGTGACCAAATCTTCGTGCCATAATAGAGCCTTAACTAGATGCACTGGATGCTTTAAATTCAAAGTTTGAAAATGCAATTGGAAACAATTTGTTTTCAATTATTTTGATTGATTGAGAACAATCTCTTCTCATTCTTCTTATAATGAAGCATACATTCATCATTATTAAAAATATCTTAGTAATACTATTTCATCAACTGATCCAAACTAAACAAGTTTAAAGTGAACCTGGGAACATTTATCACAACATAAATACATTTTTCCTATCATAATCTCAACAACTTTCCAATTAGATGCAACCAAAATTAATATATATAACCCATCCTCAGTTGTGTGATAAATTAATATATATAGCCCATCCTCAGTTGTGTGATAGATTGATTAATTTCACCATATTTTCATCCTGATCGTTTGAATATTACATTCAGTATTTAAATATCATATCAACCTTAATTTCAGCATTACCAGCAAAACAAGAAAGAAACAATTTATTTTCATCCTTATAATCTCAACAACTTTCCAATTAGATGCAACCAAAATTAATATATATAACCCATCCTCAGTTGTGTGATAGATGGATCAATTTCACCATATTTTCATCCTGATCATTTGAATATTACATTCACTATTTAAATATCATATCAACCTTAATTTCAGCATTACCAGCAAAACAATTTATTTTCATCCTTATTTTTCTCTTTTTTTTTCTTCATAAATATTTACTTACCCCTAGCCTTTAGAGAACCATTTTCAATATGTCCATAATCCATATTCCTTGCAATGATAACAGTATACTGAATTCCTATGTTGATTATTTGTATGCTTAAATCAATCGAGCTTCATGTTTTTAAGGGTCCATCAGAATTGAACATGACAATTGATAGATTTACCGTTGATAAAGAAGATACTGGGCTAAAATGGATCTACCTCTCTAATATTCTTCTTTCTTAACTGAAAACAGCAAGAATAATTTTCTATTTTTGGCGCCTAGTCTGATTGAAACAACCACCTTCATCTTGACTTCCCCTTCAACAAACAACAAATGGTTTGTTGTTTTTTGGAATCTTGATGGGTGCATAACAGCACTGGCAAGCCATTGCTTAGCGTGAATATATTATCTGGATTCTCCAGTACCTGGATAGTGATTGGAAATGGCCTTAATCAGCTAAAAGTGAAGTCTATCCGAGCTGTTAAGTAATTTCAACAATCTTCAGGTCCACTAATCCAATGGAAAGGAAACTTATGGTACCTGGGAAGGGGCTTCATGACAAAGAGGATAGGAAGAGGAAAAATATTTAAGAATTCTGATTACTTACCTTCCAGGACAACAAGCCTATTTACAGGCAATTACAGTAGAGATTAATTCTTATCCACTTCCTAAATAAATCACAAAAAGGGCAAAGTGTATCTACAATAACAAACTAGATAAATTCAAACCAAAATGAGAATTCCAGCAATCATAATTCCGGAATTTAAATTCAAACCCATCCTTGTTATAATCTGGATTTTCATCTAAATATCTAGCTCGGAACCTTGATCTCCCTTGTGGATAGCTATGATGCACTGACACTTCTCCTCAAAGAGGCGTGCAATGTCCGACACCGTGTCCGACACGACACTCACCCGACACTCTTCCGACACGTGTCGGACACGTCAAAAACGTGTCCAATTAAAAAATATTAAATACAAATTGGACATGCGTGTCCGACATGCGTATCTTAAATATTTTATGAATTTTTTTAAATATAATTTCTTGTATTTGACGGGATTTAAACTAAATTTCTTATTTCATATCCACAACACCAAATCAACGTACGCACTTAATACCCAATCATTGAATATTCTCATTTTCATTTCTTTTTGGCAGTGAAGATATTTTCATCTCCTCTCTCGGTGTCTGATAAACGGCATCAACGTCTGACTCTCGACATCCTAATGCTAATCATTTTAAGCACAATTTCTAGTTAAATGACTTATTATTTTCAAATTATTTTTAAAATTTTACTTATTTAATTTTTATACACTATTTTTTTAAATATAAAAACTATAATACCGTGTCCAACCCGTGTCCGTGTCCTATATTTTCAATAACTGACATGTCCGTGTCGTGTCGTATCCGTGTCGCCGTGTCCGTGTCTGTGCATCATAGGTGGATAGGGAACCGCTCCAATTGTATAGCTCAAACTTTGTCCCATTAATTACACCTGCACCCTAATAAGTACCTAAAATAGATGGGCAATGAAATGCAACCAACTGTATCAGAATATGATGGGAATCAAGAACCCATTGAGACCCTAACAATGTTGTTGCATCAAACTAAAGCACAACGATAACCGCTTGAAGTAATTTCAATTCATGCAGTTCAAACAAACCGATGTACTTGAAATCCGGTCATAAGAAGCAAGGAGGAATCAAATCAAGAGCAAGCAAAGAAGATTTCATCATCAAAGATGAATTATTCTACCATATTAACCATTCTTCCATAATTTTCCCTAAAACTCCTTTATCATAAACCGAATTCATCATCGAACTGGACGTACCTTCGGGGCTGTTTGTAGCAGGATTTATGCCGGATTTGAGGATATTTGAGCGAAATCCAGCCGAATGGGCTAAAATGCAAAACCAAATCTCACAGTATAAATGAAAGCCGCCGTAGATGGAAAATTACCCCTTTTCTGGTGAATCCCGGATTTCCAAAATCCTCTGATTCGGCGGATTTACGGGATTTGGTCGAAGAAGCGCGCGAAAGGGAGAATGTTACCTTCACAGCGGGCGAGCTCCCTTCGTTGCTTCCGATTAAAATGTCGTAACTTCCGATCCAACAGGAAGGGAACGCCTTCGATGAGCGAAGTCGAACAGCCACGAAGGAGCCCGAAAAAGAACGAAGAAATACAAGGAAACGCAAACCGTGGGGCTAGGCTAGGTAAAGAAAGATGCAAATTCGAATTATCTTAATAATTAATGTTTATTAATTAACTAGATATTAATTCATGTAAATTAATATTATTTATAATTTATTTTAATGAAAATTATTATATTTAACTATATCCTGCCTTGAGATCTAAGAGTAAAAAAAAGGGAAGAAGATTCTTGGAGATCTATAGTGTAAAAGAGTTTTGAAAGCAAAATAGTTTGAAACCACGCAAAACTCACTTGACGTGCATTGACCAAAAAACTAAAATCACAGAAATGGCCTCCTCTCGCAAAATTGACTGTGTCAATGTGTCCGGAGCAATGGAAACAATTAAGATCGACGCACATATTGATTGGTCGTCGATGGAAACAAAATTTAAATTTCACGCACGTAAATCGAGGCTCGACGCAAACAACGATGATGATGTGGTGACCAAGTCGAAACACAATTCATAAAATTTTTTAGTTTCATATATTTATAAAATTTTAAAAAGTGAATTAAAAAAATACTTAAATCCTAAATAAAAAAAAAACCTAAAATACCCCTCACTCCCTCATAACTCCTCCCCATCTTATCTCACACAAAATCATCCCCCCCCCCCCCCCCCCCCCTTCACCTCTCTCCTAGTTTTCCAATTTTTTCACATTCACATCTCAAACCATCAACCTCCCTTGCAAAAAAAAAAAAAATACTCTCCAATACATCCTGCACACATAAAAAACCCCCTTCATTTCCACTTTCTCTCTCTAGAAAGAAAAGAAATTCCTTCCCAAATACTTCTGTTTACATTCGAAATACCATATTGCACCACCATTTCCCCATATCTTTCCTCCTATAGAGACAAAAAATTTCCTCTTTCTCTCTCTAAAATTGAAGAGAGAGATTTTGTCTCTCTTCAATATTCATTCTCCCAACATTTGTTTTAAGTGTAAGATGGTAATTCCAAATACTTACTAATTTTGCAACTAAGTATTTTTGCCTTCGGATTATTTTTTTATTATTGCTTATTTTGAGATACAATTCATCAAAAGACACTACATGATATTATCACAAGTAGGACTCTTGACTTATCGGTTCATAAATATAAAACTTTAAATAAAAGGAAAATTTCATGAATATTCTAAGGAATTTATTGATGAGGAGTTCCTTAAAGAAAATATGAACTTTAAATGTCATCTATATGTTCAAAAATAAAAGTTCATAATTTGTTACATTTGATCATTAAACTATTTGGATTAATTTTCTTTAAAGAGATTGTTCGCTCATCAATGCATATATTTTTTTTATTTGTTCGTTTTCACTTTTTTAATAGCATCACATCATCTTGGGATTAGTTATGAATATGCATTAGGACATATGTTATTATGTCGGCGTTTTAAGATTTGCATTAGTGCTTCATATCCCATCAGTTATTTTCAAATTTTGCATGATTCATGTAATTTGCATAAATTTGATCTTTTTTAGTGATAATTATAAATAATTGTTAATGTGAGCATTCGACAGATGGAATTCAGATTGAGTGATTAGGCAAATGATATTTCTTAATTTTGAAAAGCTTTCCTGTGGGAATCTTTAAAAATTAATTGCAGAACGACAACTTTATAAAATCATGTAATAGATTGCAACAAATCTTTATAAATTGACGATTTCAGAACTCCTTATTCTAGTTCATTTAGTGTATCTTTTTATTTATTTATTTATTTTACTATCAATGCATCTGATTCTTTTATTTTTCCACCATATGCATTTGGAGAACCAAAACTCGAAGATGTCCTACATCAACTGCAACTTACAAAATTTTGATGAGACATAATTGGTGTTGACATGCCTCAAGCCCGATCCACATCAATTCCTTCTATCTTGACCTTGTGGTGTAATTAGCTCATTTTTTATGCTAGTTAATGCTATATAATGATAAAGCATGGTTAATTAAGATTTTGGATAATAAATCACACTAGATAAAGAGCATTTGGTTGTTGGTCATCTAACCAGAATTGATGATATAGTTTATAGTCCACATAAATGGATTTGTTTCAATGGAATTGTCAATTATTTATATTTTTTGTAATAAGTCTTGAAAATATTTGCAAACTTCTTTTAGAAAGCAGAAAAATTATATTTTATTATTTGAAGTGCAGGTGCTCTTTGTTTGCACAACGAATGTGATTGAGATAATTCCTACTCCTTGTTTAGATAGAATGGAAGTAACTATGATTATTGATTAAATAAATATAACTGATGAAAAGGTTTATTGTAAGGGATTATCTGGGAAGTCAATTATTGAAGCTTGTGGTATCAAGCATGAATAAATATGTCATAATAATATCATGTTTGAGATGCATTGTGAATATAATTATTACATCATTATATGAAAAGGCCATGCAAATTGAATTACTAATTTTTTTAATATATATAACCGAGTAAATCTAATTAAATTAAAATGTTCAGGTGTAAGTAACAACTGCAGCTCTATTTGAACTTATATAAAATTATTGCCGAGAGGATCGTGTGCGAAATTTGCAGAAACAAATTGAGAAGATGTACCACAAGGTTTTGAATATATAAATCTTGAAGGTTGTTCATGCTTTCATGTTTTTAAGTTGTATTAGGTTTTTTAATCCAGTTTGTGCTATTATTAATAATCAGAACAAACAAATAATATATACTTTTTTCTTAAAAGTTATATGAACTTATTGCGTCGAGGAGTACTCGCGGCAGTAGAGAAATATAAAGTTTAACGTCTTAGTGTTGTGCGAAAATCCGGCACGCAATCAAATATGAGAAAGGGTCTAACATTTATGAGACACCAAGATTTTTACGTGGAAAACCCCTGAAAATGGGGAAAAATCACGGGCCTAGCCCAATTTGAATGAATCCATTAATATTGTAGTCGATTACAAATGAGGCCCTTCATTGGGGGAAGGCCTTGGCTTGGTGTACATTATATGAAGTACATTACATGTTGGAAATACAAAGAGTCATTGTTGATGTGTTCGTTTGGTCGGGAGGACCATAGTATGGTGACGGAGGTCAGAAGAATCATTGTCGGTGGGCGACGGAGGTCATAAAGATCGTTGTCTGACGACGGAGGTCAGAAAGACTGTAGTTTATGGACGATGTAAGTTAGGAGGACCGTAGTCGGCTGGCGGGAGGTCGGAAGGACTGTAGTCAGTATGCGACGTAAGTTAGAAGGACTGTAGTCGGCGGGCGACATAAGTTAGGAGGTCCGTAGTCGATGGGCGAAGGAGGTCGGAAAGACTGTAGTCGGTGGGCGATGTAAGTCAGGAGGACCGTAGTCGGCTGGCGACGAAGGTTGAAAAGACTGTAGTCGGTGGGCGACGTGAGTTAGAAGGACCGTAGTCGGCATGTGACATAAGTCAGGAGGACCATAGTCGGCTGGCGGCGGAGGTCAGAAGGACCGTGTTCTTGCGACAGAGGCTGGAAGGATTGTCTCTGACAATAAAGATCAGAAGGACAACGTCATGTAGAAGTCCAACAATGGAAATAAATCCATATTCGGATATACGTCCAGAGAAAGTCTGATAACCGGTAGAAGTCCGACATCGGGTAGAAACTTGGCGAAGAGTGAAGGTCCAACGTCGGGTAGAAGTCCGACGTCTGTTGGTGGCCGAGGAGAACTCTGGCATCACTTGGGCGGAATTTCGGCGTCAGGAGGGAACTCTATCGTTAATTGGGAAGAATTTCATCATCCCGTGGAACTTGGGCAGAATTCTGGTGTCCCGTGGAAGTCGGGCAGAATTCCGGCGTCATTTGGAGTTCGGGCAGAACTCCGGCGGTGGTCGAGGAGTATCTTCCCTCATATTCTTCTCTTCTTCTTCTCCTGCTTCTTGCTTGGGTCCCCTCTCATGAGAAATGATGGGTCTATTTATAGATTTTATGGAGTTGCATGGCTCGTAAATAGATGAGAGATCAGGGGCAAATGTGGAGTGGTTCGATGGATGGCTGATATTGAATCCCTTGATCATGAATCATTTATCAGGCATTTGAAGGTCTTAATGACTTTGGAATTTGGCGATCTTGGGCTCATTGGATTCGTCTCGTCAAGCCGCACGATTCGACTGTATGCTCGTTAAGTTTAAAGACCGTTTGGTAACTCAAATTGTGGTACAAACTTTCTAATAGCGCTTCGGGTCTTTGATTTGGACTCATTTGGGCTCAGATTGAGTTGAATTTGGTGTCGTCGTTTCGTATTTCCGAGATGCTCCATTTTTACTATAAGTTCGTTAAAATCGGAGTTCAGATGCTCATGGATTTAATTTTTTAAATTTCCTGCTTGACTTTGCCTCGAGATTCGTGCCCGATCAAGACAATTTTTTTATGATATATCAGAACTATAATTTTAAAATTATATGTGAGCTTCTTTCCTTTGGTTGCACGATCATTGTACTAGCAATTTTGTTTGTTGTCTACTCAGTTAGTTTCAGATTTCCAGCTTTGAGGCAATGGTTGTTGTGTGTGATTATTTTGTTAAATCTATTTTTATTCTACTGCAAAGTTCCCTTATAGATATGCAGTTAAAAAAGTATTTTAGGAAACTGTTTGTTATTGTAATTACTTGATTATTGAGAATAACAGGCTCACATCTCCCGAGTCTGATTATTCAACTCTAAAATCACTTTGATATTTAATATATTACAGAACCACCACTTGTAAGTCATGATGCCTTTTACATATTATATTATCATGTTAAAGATAGTAAAGAAATATATATTTAAAATATATGACTTTTTACTTAAGTTTGTTCCATCAGTCCGGGGCGGAACCACCTACTATTCAGGGTGGGGGCAATTTATATATATACAGAAAGGGAGGGGCAGACGGAAGGCGGCTAAATCATGGGCAGCGAGGCGTAGGCAGATGGAGTTGGGCCAGCGGGTGGGTACGACAGTTGGCTTCGACATTGATGCGATCGGAGCAGGATCGAGAGTCAGCTAAGGCAGTTGGATCAGACATCGAGCTAGGG